TTTATGTGGCCATCGATTCTAAATGATAGCTTTGCAGGACAGAGTAATCTTGGTTGTAGGTCCTTGCTTTTCATCACTTTAAATATTTCATACCACTCCCTTCTGGCTTGCAAAGTTTCTTTGGAGAAATCAGCTGACAATTTTATGGGAGCTCTGTTGTAGGTAATGAACTGCTTTTCTCTTGCTACTTTTAAGATTCTTTATCTTGAACCTTTTGCATTTTGATGATGATGTGTCTTGGTGTGGACCTCTTTGGGTTCATCTTGTATGGGACTCTCTGTGCTTCCTGGACCTATATGTCTGTTTCCTTGACTAAGTTTGGGAAGTTTTGTGTCATTTTTTCAAATAGGTTTTCAATTTCTTCCCCTCTCTCTTCTCCTTCTGGCACCCCCATGATGTGAATGTTGATACGCTTGAAGTTGTTCCACAGGCTCCTTATACTATCCTCAGCTAGTGCATCCTTCATTTCTGACTGGTCCTTTATTATGCTCTTGAGGTCCTCACTAAGTTCCTTGATGTTTTCACAAAGTCCCTTGAAATGCTCATTAAGTTCATTGAGTGTCCTTATAAGCAGTGTTCTGAACTCTGCATTTGTTAGATTGCTTACCTCCATTTCATTTAGTTCTTTTCCCGGAGTTTTGTTCTGTTCTTTCATCTGGGACATGATTCTTTGTCTTCTCACTTTGGCTGCCTCCCTGTGTTTGTTTCTATGTATTAGGTAGAGTTGCTATGTCTGCTGGGCTTCCCAGGGTGGCGTGTAGTAGGTGTCCTATAGAGTCCAGGGTCACAGCCTCCCTGGTCATCTAGCTGGGCCCTCAAGGTGCACCCCTCATGTGGACTTTATACCTTTCTGTTGTAATTGAGTTGTTGTTTTTTTTTTATTCTCACCCGAGGACATTTTTTGCATTTATCTTCAGATAGAGCAGGAGAGAGGGAGGAAGAGAGAGAGAGAAACATTGACATGAGAGACACATCGAGTGGCTGCCACCAACACGACTCCAACCAGGACGGGGACAACCTGCAACCGAGGTACATGCCCTTAGCAGGAAATGAACCCAGAACTCTCAGGTCTGCCGGCCGACACTCGAACCACTGAGCCACACCAGCCAGGGCTGTAATTGAGTCTTGATTGCTGTTGGCATGTCAGTGGGAGGGTTTTACTCAGGCTGATCAGCTGCAAGGACTGAGTGTGCCTACTGTCCACCAACCTCTGACTTCCTTGGATGGTCAGCTGTGCAGGGGCCACCACACAGAGCAAGACTTCAGCAGGGCTCTCGTACCCACTGAGTTCACATGGGTGTGTCACTTGTGGAGGTGGTTGGGTGGTGGTGCTTCAGCATGGACTGAAGCTGTCCACTGGGTGTGCTGGCTCTGGGGCAAGGTCAGCCACTGCCTGTGTTCTACCTGGGGCCACCAGGCATAAGCTGTAAAGCGATCTGCCAATGGCTGCTGCTTGTGCTGGGCTGGGAGGAGCCCAGGCAAAGCCACGCTGTGAAACAAGGCCACCTGGGGCCACTTAGTGAGAGGTATGGGGCTCGCTGAGACCAGATGCTGCTTGTTTGAGAGAATTCAGGAAAATCTCAGGCAGCAACCAGAACAGGCCAATCCTATGGTAAAGCCACTGGAAACAGCTTGGGTGGGACAGGGCCTCAGGGAATCAAGGGCGGAGCAAACAGTGTGAGCCAGGTTGCTGGGGTCCCAGATACGGTGGGTGGCTGCTGCCCCAGGGAGGGGCTCACCAAAGGAACAAAGGCCTCTGCCAGCACGTCTGTCCCGGAGAAAGCCCCTCTCCAGCCCTCACCCAGATGCCAAACAGCTCAGTCCTTGCCCGTATGTCTCTCGTGCCGTTCGAGCTGCGTCCCTTCCACTCTGGAGCTCAGAGGGAGCAAATCCAAGTAAGTCCGTGCGCGGGCCCTTTAAGAGGAGCTGAGCTGCCTGGGGCTCCAGAAGCCTCAGCCTCCCTCAGCCTCAGTTCCCACTGGTTTTCCAGCCAGAAGTGATGGGGATTCTCTTCCTGGCACTGGAACCCTGAGCGGGGCGCCTGGTATGGGACTCCTCAGGGAGGACCTTCCAGCCGAGGTGGCCTGATTTTTATCCGCCACACGTGGGTGTGGGCCCAGCCGGTCCCGCTCCCCCTACCAGTCTCCATGTGGCTGCTTTGATCTCGTAGTTGTAGGACTTCCATTCAGCTCGATGTCAGGCGGTTCTGAAGGATGTTGGTTCTGTAGTTTAGTTCTAATTTTGATGTGGTTGTGGGAGGAGGCGAGACCACAGTTACCTACCCGCCATCCTGACCGGAAGTCCAAGTTCAAACTTTTGGCAAGAGTATTTCACAGGCAGTGTTGTATACTTTGATCAAAAGACAATAGCTGGGTTGTCTTTCTCTTTGTGACGTTAGCTGTCATTGACAATCACTGCCTAATCCATTATTTGATTAGGGGTTCCAGGTGATAATCAAATTCTTTCATTAGCTGAAATGCATCTATTAAATGTGCACTTATATATTATTTGATTACCTGGGGTATAGTTGGTAACAGAAAGATTGAATTATTTCTCTTTGATGTTGAAATAAATAGTTGGTTCTCAGTCTTCTTTTAAATATGTCCAATGAGAATTTTATTAGTATCATGAATTTAAACATATTTGTGTCTCAGTTATTATAATCATATTCGTATTCAGATTGTTCTCTTTTGTCAGTGGGAGTCTTTTCTACATATTTCTTAGTATTTTCTTCTAATTGATGTTTCTAATGCAATTTTAAGTACTATTGTTTTGTATGTTTCATTTTCTATTTATTGATAATATGTAGGCATGTTGATTCTTTCATGGCGGACTCACATCCAGTGATCTTGCTAAATTCTCACAGTTTCTTGTGGAGCTTTTTGAATTTTCTTCACACACAGTCATGTCATATGTGGATAATGATGGATCTGTTTCTTCTGTCCCAATCCTGTAATTTCTTTTTCTTTTTTATTTCCCCCTATCAACAACTTCCTAGTAAATGTGGATAGAAGTGGTGATGGTGTCCTTGTCTCACGTGGGCACCGTGCCGTGCTGGTGCCCGTGTCTTCTGAGCGTGACGCCTGCAGTCCTTGTTGGCTCTCTTCCTGCTCCCGTGACCGTACTTGCCTACTCAGCTCGTGCTTGGAACGGCCCTGCTCTGAAGAAACCTAGTTCCTTTTCATGGAAGGTGGTGTCTAAACACCATAGTCTGGATGCTGAGGGTGCCTGCTAATACTGGGTTGGTTGGTTTTCCCTAGGTCTTTCTCTTCAGAGAAAAGAGCTTGGAAATATGTGTATCAATTTAAGATAAAATAATATATTTAGTTTATACTTTCATTTCAGATTCAAGTCCACAGAGTTTTAGTTCCTCTGTTATATGTTACGTGCCACCTCCTTCCCCTACACCAAAACCCTGATTCCTGTTGATGCCAAAATAACTTCTTTCCTTTTCTCTGGCACAGACACAATAGTGTCAGAGTAGCTGTATTGTCACTGTCATCAATAATGTCGTCACTGAGAACAATTTTAAATTGTTTTTGTCCTTAGGATACATCCTGCCATACATGTACAATCAAGTAATGTGTTTTATTTATTTTTTTATTATTTTTGTTACAGATGTTTCCCCTTCAGGTAATGTGTTTTAAAGTAGTTTAACTTCTGTCTGTGACTTATGCCTCCAATTCGATCCACAGTTAAGATTATTCGTTCAATTTGGCTCTTGATATTAAGAAATTGAGATTTTAAGTTATGTAAAAATATGGTACTGCACCCACAGATTCCCCAGGGCCTGTGCTCACTGTGGCCCTCGCCCCGCATCGGCATTGACCTGTGCTGCCATTGGTGACGATTTACTGAGGGGCGCTGCACCCACAGATTCCCCAGGGCCTGTGCTCACTGTGGCCCTCGCCCCGCATCGGCATTGACCTGTGCTGCCATTGGTGACGATTTACTGAGGGGCGCTGCACCCACAGATTCCCCAGGGCCTGTGCTCACTGTGGCCCTCGCCCCGCATCGGCATTGACCTGTGCTGCCATTGGTGACGATTTACTGAGGGGCGCTGCACCCACAGATTCCCCAGGGCCTGTGCTCACTGTGGCCCTCGCCCCGCATCGGCATTGACCTGTGCTGCCATTGGTGACGATTTACTGAGGGGCGCTGCACCCACAGATTCCCCAGGGCCTGTGCTCACTGTGGCCCCTGAATATACCAACAACCCAGTCGCAGGAGCCTACTTGAGAGTCTGCTGCACGGTGCGTGTCCGCTGCGACCACGGTGTCCGTGGGCACAGATGGCACCTCAGAGTGATGCCAGGAGGGCCTGGGCAGGGTTGGCGGGCAGAGCCGGGCCGGGACAGGCTGTCGGGGCTGAGCTGAGCGGCAGAGCGCTCTGCTGGTGGGGGGAGGGCGGGGGGAGGGGAGCAGAGCCGAGGGAGAGTCTCCCGGTGCTTGGGCGGCGCAGCCCCCCCCCCCCCCAGGCCTCCCTGAAGCCCCCCGGGACCGTGGAGAATCTTCCGCCCTCACCCCTCCCGCGGGGCTGCCCCATGGCAGCCCGGTGGAGCCGCGGGGCGCAGAGAGGGGTGCGGGCGGGGCATGCGGGAGAGGCGCCAGTGCCGGGTGGCAGCCGGAGGAGGAGGGTCTGCCGTCTGCGGGGGTCTGCGGGGGTCTCTCCGCCCGAGGAAGCCACCAGCTGCGGCAGGAGGAGCAGGGGCGTCGGAAGCCCGTGTCCCTGGCCCGCTGTGGCCGCGGCAGCAGCTCGGAACTTTCAGAATCACGTAGCTGGACGTTATTTACTCATCATCTTTATTAAATAATAAATACTTTGGGATAAATAATTTACGAACATTCAGAGCCCGTAGGGCTTACAAGAAGAATCCTGAGAGATCCATAGTCATGACCCGAACACAGCGACCCCGGCCGCGCACAATAAATACAGGTTAAATAAATAGGGATGTAAACACACATCCCCGAAATAAATAGGGGCGCGGGCGCGGGCGCGGGCTAGGCGCGCGCGGCGTAGAGGCGCTGGCACAGGGCGATCCACCGGCGCAGGAACAGCTCCACGTTCACCGGCTCGTCCCCGTACTCGCAGGGCGCCCCGCCCGCCGGCTCCTGCAAGAAGCAACGTCCTCAGTCCGGCCCCCTCGGGCCTTGTTCCCTTGTTCCCCGCTGCAGGGGCGCAGGCTCAAGGCCTGCGTTTTCCAGAAGGTCCAATGTCTGAACCCCGGTTCCTAGCAGCGACCCAGGCGACCTGCCGAGCCTGCCTTCCCGCCCCTGGGAGCCCTGCCCCTTCCCGGGGCACAGGGTTCTCCCTCCGCGATGCGCCAGGAAGCACTTTAAGTGGCAACAGGTCTAGACGGGCACCTCGTGAAACTGCAGGTCGGTCAGGTCGAGCCCTGCCCTCCTTCCCGCTGCCCCGTCTGCCCCTCGGCCTGCCCGCAGGCACGCGCACCACGCTTGCTGGGTAGCCCTCGAGGCCCCTGCTGCCCTCCCCGGGGGGTCTCTTCCTACTCCCCCAAACCCGATGGAGCAGCCAACAGTAAGTTAGGACGATCTTGGGGAAAGTTGTGTGAAGAACAGATTGTGAATGCTCATACCCACCCTGCCCCACCTCCGTATCAGTCGAGGACCAACTTCTGAAAGTCTGAACATTAGAAATTTTGTTCTGTGGACTGACACTTTGGAAATTAACCTCCTCTACTGGTGGGAGCTATTTCACCTCTGAGGCTAGCTGACAAGCTAAGAGAATACTCTGATACACAGTAAGATAGAAGGCTTTTGAAATTTGAAGTAATTCCTATCCTGGAAACATAAACCAAATGAGGTACAGGATTCTCTTTAAATAAACTGTTGTAGCCCTGGGCAGTTTGGCTCAGCAGTTACAAGGACCAGGGAGTCCTGGGTTCGATTCCGGCCAAGGACACGTACCTCGGTGGCAGTTCGTCCCTGGCCCTGGTTGGAGTCATGTGGGTGGCAACCACTCCATGTGTCTCTCTCACATCCATGTTTCTCTCTCCCTCCTACTCTGTCTGAAGATAAATGTAAAAATATCCTCAGGTGAGGATTAAAAATAAATAAATAAATAAACTGCTGTAGTCTTATATACTTCTGTAAAAACATCATTGAATATTGTAACCTCTTAGAGGGTTAGATTTTTTTTTTTTACTATCTGGCTTTTGAAACTCAGAGTCTCTGATTTTCACATAATTTTGTCCTAATTTTGCATCAAGAATTTAGAGTGAGTTTTCTGATACTGGTCGAGTATTTTAGAGCAAACCTCTTGACATGGACACTGAGTCTGTCGATGTCTAGATGACATTGCTCTGATGTGTTATTTTTAAAGAATTAAATGGAAAGGAACAGTCTACTAACAAAATGGCTCTTGCTTGGAAACAACTAGAATGTTAGAACCTTGGTTCTACTATCATTAAAATTATTCTGTTTATTTAGCTATTCACCTATTAACTCATGAATTGTGTACTTTGGCAAACGGGGTGAGAAAAGGGAGATGTGAATCTCTTCACATCACCCGAGTCCCTTGCATATTTCATGCTTCCTGTGCGGCTAAAAGTACTGAAAGTTCTGAAGGTATTATCTGTCAATCAGGAGTTAATTATCTAGTCTGTTGGCCATTTTAATGGTTGCCCTTTTTAAGACAAATCTTGTAGTTCTGCCAATGGCTGAGAAACCCCACTTAAAAGCTGTTAGGTCATCAGTGCTGGCCATTCTGGAAACTGATCTGAAGGAATTTTAACAATATGTGATGAAACCTGTCTGCTTTCTGTGCACTTCAGTTCCGTGTCTTCTCCTACTCCCAGCGTGCTGGTAGTGTGAGGGGTGACAAGGAGGGGCAGGGCGTGTCCCCGCATGCGTGCGGCTGGAGAACCCCTGGCTCTGCCCTACCCCTTATACCTCCCAGCTCCACACTGTGTCATCTAGCTCACAGTGACTTCACAGGTAGGAGTACTTCACAAATACCACAGATGCTGTGCCACTTTAAAATGCCTCCCCGTGGATTTTCCTCCCAGGCGAGCAGGTGGAGTAATGCCTTACCTTTAGTGCCTGAACTAGTGTGTTGATATTTCTCACTGAGTCATTGATATTTCTCAGGGGAGAGGTTTTGCTCTTATCTAAGTTGAGCACGTCCTGCAGAGGTGAGAGTTCTTCGACCAGACACTGCAGGTGTTTCAGCTCCGTGGCCTTGAACAACAAAGACAGTTACCAGGTCAGTCTGCCCTGATGGTCAATCAGAAAGTAACTTCAAATTTGTTTTAGTAAGAGTAGCAGTACATAGCTTTTACCACTCTCTCCATTCTCAGCATTACTGTCGAGATGGACCGATAGAGTTTTACTTTATAAGACTGGAAAAACTAGAGTTCAACTACCCATGATTAGAATGAACTATTAGCTAACAAGGAATTAATCATTACTTTCAGTTTAATTTGGTTTTGCAAAAAGTCAACGTTTCTGCACCCCATTGCAAATCACAGACATAGGCTGACTTCGTTCCCAGTCTGCACAGAAGTTACTCGGACCAGAGTAGTCAGATTGTGGAAGTACGGGGCCACGGGCTGTGACGCCAGCACTATTTCGTGGTTCACAAGTTGAGAACCAGGGACCGCTAGGCCAGAAGAAGCCCTTGGGGCCACTGGCTGCAGCCCTAACATTTTGTAGATTAGCGATGGTAGCTCTGTATATAGTATTGGCTCTCAGAACAGCAAGTCACATATCACTGCATCTTAATTGTTTAACTACATTACGATGCCTTCAAAGGGGTATTAATACCAACCAAATAAAACGTCACAGTTATTTGAAGGATTTTTCAATGAGCCTCCTGATTCAGATACACACACAGCATGATAATACTGCACACTTCTGTGGTACGCTGTGATTTCAAAGTGTTTGTTCCCAAATAAGCCCATTCACATCTCTCAGCCGCATTCTGAGACAGAAATGCAGTGTCATCTCCATTTCACAGAGAAGGACGGTGAATCTCAGAGCCTGTGTCCTCCCCAAGGCCACACAACCAACAGGAGCCGGGATTCAACCGCTTCTCTGTCGCCATAACGTAGCATCCTTCGAGTTACATGTTCTTACAGTTTTCTGCAATCTCCGAGACATGGAATGGTGGTAACGAGCAAGTGAATGGAGTTCATCACATTACTTTTGGTTTCAAATAGATCTTGAGCTGTCATTTAGAAAGTGTTAGATTTCAAAGAATCTACCACCCTCTAAACTGCGCACACATCCCCTGTTATCTTTCTAACAATCTAGCGAGGGAGAGGGAGGGCTCCGCCGCCAGGTCGGAAGCCGGTTTCATCTGCAGGCCTCCCCGCTGCCTCCTGCAAGTGCTGGAGCTCAAGGCTCGAGTGTTTGGCATGAGCAGCCAGAACGAGCCCCTCACAAAGCCTAGAGCCTTTCAGTGACTGGAGGTAAGAGGTGTGTGTGTCTGACTAAGCCGGAGGAGATCTCCGAGTTATTTCCTTCTCATCTTTCAAAAGATAGCCTAGAGCATAACTTAAGTAAGTCTGAGGAAAATCAGTGGGATTGCATCTATGATCCTTTAAGTCCCATTTTTTCTGGGCGTAGATGCCCAGCACTGGTTCTGCCCTTCTCTGCTGACCAGCACAGCTAGCTGTCAGCAGCCTCACTTAGCAATAAGAGCATAGAAGACTATGCCTGTCTGTCTACCTGAATCCCCAAACAGCCAGATGGAGCTTCTGATCTTGGAAAATGAGTCATGCAGCATACGTCTCCAGGCTACTGGCATAAAAGATGTGTAAGCCCCGTTTTTTACTTTCTACTCCCCAGGGAGAAGTTGGTCTTCACTACTTATTACTAGTGATAGCGGGTGTTTGTATGGTGCTTACCCTATGCCCGATGCTGTTAGAGCCCCTTACATTTACTCACTGACCCTCACAAAACGATGTGAAGCATACACAAGTGTTCACAGATGTAGGTAAGAAACTGAGTCACAAAGAGAGCAGGTGGCTTGCCCCCACCCAGTTCACCAAAGCTAGGCTCAGGCCGACTGGCCCTGGGTGTACGCTGCTTCTCAAAGACAGACCTTAGGACTCTCCTAAAACAAAGCATCCCTTTTAAAGTGGGCTCCTCTGACATCGGTTGTGGTCCTTTGCATAGTGAAATCACATAACAGAGTATCTTTAGGGTTTTACATGTTCAAAGGAAGCAGTAAGTCGACAATCGTTTTAGAAAGCAGTCCCAGCAATAAAGTGAGAATAGTATTCTTGTCCTCTTTCCTTCCCACTTCCTCTCCCCCCAAACACAAACAAGCGCATAGAAATACATAGACAAAGCCACTTTACAGAAGCCTCCCTCTCGAACTTGAGTGTTTTTTCAAATATGGAACTTAGTAATATTTCCTCTCAGGCGCGATGCAATCAGTGGGCAGATTCCCACTTGGCTTCTTAATAAAACACAAAATGAACTTAGAAAGTGGTACTTACATTCCTGGGCATGTAGAATTTAAACGTGAGCAGCATGGAGCGCTTGGGGTTCTCGTGGTTCTGCGAAAGCACGACAGACGGTTATTACAAACCACCCCAGAGAGGAAAGTCAGGGGCAGTCGTGGGAGCCAGGGGACCGACTTACCTCGAATACCTTCAGAAGCAGCTGCAAATCCAGCATCAGCTGCTCCAGCTGCTGCTGTGTGTCCTGGCTGGAGCTCCAGGTGGGTGCAGCGTCTGTGAGGAGCACCAGCGTTAGTGCGACGCAGGACAGCAAGTGCATCTTGTGCATCGTGGCAGGAGGTGAGGTCGCTGTCGTTGTGATTGGAGAGCTGATAGGGAGCTCGAGAGAGAGAAGCAATTTATACTGTTAATTCTGGAAAGATATTATGGGGGTGTCAAAATATTTTACATATTACACATATTTTCAAAGACTCTACCTGTGTGGCAAAAAAAAAAAAAAAAAAAAGCATTACCTTTATTTTTCCTCTTCTGATGACTCTTTGGAATTTCTTCAAACCCCCATGAGCTGACTGAATGGATGTAGGTGAAATCCCTCTTGGGTTCAGTAGCCCACACTTCTGTGGTGGTTCCAATGCATACGCCTCACGCCTTCTGTATGAAGCAGTTTTTCCTCCTTTCATTAAGGGGGTGGGGAGACCAAAGTGGCTTATGAAAATTTTCTCTTTGTCATAAACTGTGCTGAACTTGTGGCTCACCCTGCCGTGGTGGACACGAGCCAGAGCAAATAGGTGATAAGAATAAATGTTTAGATTTGTTGATTAGACAGGAAGAATATTGGTTTCCGGTTTCAGGATGACTTTTTCATCTATGCGATGCCTGCGCTCATGCACACGGCCTGAGAGGTCCCCTCTTACATAATCTGCAGGAGAAGCACCAAGCGGACACATCATGCCCATTGATCTGCAGATTCTGCTTTAAGGTTAACATGTTTCTCATATCTGTTTAAATCTCTCACTGTCTGTTTTACTTTCTAAAAACATACAGTGTTCAACAAATACTCAGAACACGTGTTCTAGCCAAAGGTACTGATGTGGGGGTGTGCGTGACCATTTTAGTTTTGCCCCTTTATTATTTTGCTGGGTATCAGGGGATAGAACGAGAGTTGCAATGTCTCTCCCTCTCCGATGGCTTATACTTCGTTCAATATAAGGCAGGAAACAAGCATAACAATAGGGCTCCCCGTCCGTCTGTCTGAAGCGTGCGGACTGGGATGTCTGGATTCCACTGGGGCGTTCCTTAGGAGAAGGGCAGGATCTGGCCGGCACGCGGCGTGCGGCATGGCCCAGCTGGCTGGGGAAGAAGGCATGGCCGTAAGAAGCACAGAAGGAAATGGGCCGTGGAGTGCCCGTGTGTGTGTGTGTGTGTGTGTGTGTGTGTGTGCACGCGCGCGCACATGCGTGCACCTTGTGCAGTGAGAGCAGTCCTCAGAGCAGGGGTACCTGGGCTCATTTATTCCAAGACGACTCTCCTAATACAGCAGCCAGAACTTGGGGACGGCAGCTGTTAAGAGGGACGTCCATGATCATTCCTGGAGCACCTTTATGAAAAATGAATAAACTTCTACCAACAACTGGGACAGACAGACACGTGCAGACAAGGGGTGCGCTCGGGCTCTGCTGTTTGATGATAGACTTGACATGTGTTGTATGTAAACCTGCCCGCGTTCCTGGTTTCGATGTTTTCGCCTCTTCATAGATTCGCATTTCTCCTCGAAAGCTCCTGGGACACTATGAGTGTAACAGTAATAGTTGCCAAATAGGATGAGTGTTTTGGCCCTGGATGGTTTGGCTCAGTGGTTAGAGTGTTGGCCTGCGGTCCAGAGAGACCCGGGTTCGGTTCCCGCTAAGGGCATGTACCTCGGTTGCAGTTTGTCCCCGGCCCTGGTTGGGTCGTGCATGTGGCAGCCACTTGATGTGTCCCTTTCACGTCGATGTTTCTCTCTCTCTCTCCCTCCCACTCTATCTAAACAAAATATGGAAAAATGTCCTCAGGTGAGGATTAAAAAAATAAATAAAATGTTATTAACCCTTTCAAAAAAAAAAAAAAGCTGAGTGTTTTGTAATTGGGAGACTGAGAACGCTCGGGCTGGGCGTTAACTTGTCCTCAGTACAATGTACAGTTAGTTATGCCTGAGGGATGGGATCCAGAGATAGGTGTAGACCTGTCATTTCAACTGGGGCAAATCCCAAATCCCAACCTAGTTTCTCCTTCCTCAAAGGAATCGCTCGTGACGCTTCCATTTTTACTGCTGTGCACCTTTCTTGTCTAGTCTTTTTTTATTTTATTAATTTTTTAGAGAGAGGGAGAAAGGAAGAGAGCGAGAGAAACATTGATGAGAGAGAAACATCGATCGGCTGCCTCCTGCACGCCCCCTACTGGGGATCGAGCCCACAACCTGGGCCTGTGCCCTGCCTGGGATTCGAACTGGGACCTCTCAGCGCACAGGGCAACGCTCAACCACTGGGCCGCACCGGCGGCTCCTTTCTGGTCGGGGGGGCAGGAAGCTGCAGCACAGGGCGGTCGGGTCCCTTCTGGGCCATTCAGCCCTCACTGCGGGAAGGGCCCCAGTGGGGACTTGGCATCGGGAGGTTCTGACGGCAGCGCCCACTCCCCTACCATCTGTCTTCCTCCTGAAGGGACCTGGGGCATAGCAGGCCGGGCGCCCGCGGACCCCAGCCCGACCCTCCAGGGAGTGGACAGGAGGGTGTGAGGAAGGAACGGGCTTCACACTGGGTTTGACAGCATCGGAAACAACAGTCCTGTAGCCTGAGGGCTAGGAGGGGGGGCAGGCAAGGGAGGCCCTCGGAGGACCTGCGGACAAGCCCTGGGGAGGAGCAGAGAAAGGGTGCTGTTTGTCCAGGCTGCACAGTGTGCTGAACACAGCATCTCGGCAAACTTTAAAAATAAGCAATTATGGCCCTGGCCGGTTTGGCTCAGCGGTTAGAGCGTCGGCCTGCGGTCCCGAGAGACCCGGGTTCGGTTCCCGCTAAGGGCACGTACCTTGGTTGCAGTTTGTCCCCGGCCCTGGTCGGTTGTGCGGGTGGCAGCCACTCGATGTGTCCCTTTCACGTCGATGTTTCTCTCTCTCTCTCTCTCTCTCTCTCTGTTCCTCTCTCTCTCCCCTACTCTACCTGAACAAAAAAATGGAAAAATGTCCTCGGGTGAGGATAAAAAAATAAAATAAAACAAAATAAAATAAAAAAATAAAAATAAGCAATTATAGATCCTCAGGCGGAAAAAAATTAAGGAAAGCCCGATTAGAGACAAATGATTTTTTATTTTTTAGAAGAGAAGACATGGGTTAGAGACACACAATCATAATCTTTTCTTTTTATTACAAAAAAAAAAAAAATGCAAAACACTTCTCTGTACCTTTCAAACCAAAACCACAAACTTAGCATCAGTTCTAAGGGGAAGGCTATTCAGTGATCTTGTTTCGCTTCTGTAAAGATGTCAGTGTCTCATCCCAGCATCATCAGCCCAGGCCGCTACCCTTCCAGAGTGGAAGAACTCGGGCCCACACATTTCTCCGTGTGGGGGCTTTTCCAACGAGGCCTTTGATGTGCTCAGTCTTGATACTTCTATTTCTCTGGCTATTTCCGTTAGAGAATGGGCCAATGCGGAGACGTTCTGGGACAGCAGAAATATTACTGCGTAGCCGGCACCATGGTGGGGATGGGCCTTGTTTTGTGAAATGCTCAGGAGAAAACTCCCACACCGTGGTGGCGCGACAGAGTCAAAGAAAGACCACTAGGGAACTGAAGTCCAAATAAGAGCCGTTTGTTAGCCGGCGGCGTCTGATCCCGGACACCCCTGTGACAGAGTCTTCGGAGATCAGCCCCGACCTCCTTACACACACACCTTCTAAAGCTTAAAACCACATTCCGGTTCGCACTGGGGCAGAGCTCGGACAGAGCGAAAATATGCAGTTAGGCAGTTGGCTAACCTGGGAACCTGACGTTTCTTGGTCCAGTGTCTGGGGACCGGACATTTCTTGGACAGGGGCTATTCTAATTTACTAAGGTTATTATGATCTCTATCCTGTTAATTAAATTCCTTACAAAATAGATTCGGCTGGAGGACACACAGTGATTTTACCGATCATCAGTTATGGGGCTATAAACATGCCAGTACAACACGCTGTGGATACTCTCACTTTTTTTTTTTATCCTCACCCCAGGACACTTTGCATTCATCTTCAGGAGGGAGAGAGAGAAACATCGATGCGAGAGAGACACATCGAGTGGCTGCCACCCACACCACCCCAACAAGGCCGGGGACAAACTGCAACGGAGGTACGTGCCCTTAGCGGGAACCAAACCCCCAACTCTCCGGTCCGTGGGCCATCGCTCTAACCCCGGGCCAAACCAGCCGGGGGATACTCTCACTTTTAAGGTGACTGACACATGAGCTGGCCTCTCTGGCTCTACTGGTGACCAAGTCAGCAGCCGACTGCTAGCTGCCCAAAGCCGCAGCCCAACTTCCCCTTTGGAAATAGCAGGGTTTGTGACTCGGCCGGCAGCCCAACTTCCCCTTTGGAAATAGCTGGGTTTGTGACTCAGCCTCCCGGCCCCAAGGGCAGCCGGGTTCTGCGGAGAGGAAAGCCCCGCCCCCAGCTGCCTGTCCGGAGGCTGGCCATCCAGTCACCACGTTGTCCGTGGGTCAGAGCCCGCTCCAGGACGCAGCTCCAAGACTCCCTCCTCCCCCCCCTCCTCCCCCCCCCTCCCTCCCTCCTCCCTTCCTCCGATGGGTCCTGAGCTGAAGCCTGAACTCCGTGTGGAGCGCGAGCCTGTGTGGGCGCCCCTCAGGGCACACTTCTCCCCGTGAGCTCAGGACACACTGTGGGTGCCTCCCTGCCAGCCAGGCACTGCGTCTCAGGAGACGTCTGCACCCCGGGCGATGACGGGTGCCCAGCGCTCGGCTCTCAGGCCGCTGGCTTCTGCGGCGGTGCCCATGTGTGCCCTCCCGTGTGGTCACTGTTAATGGTGCTCCTCACCTTCGGGTGGAAGACTGATTTATTCCCTTCGTACTTGTCGTTCTGCAAGTGTCTCAGATTCATTCCCTCACTGAGTTACATGTTACTGGTGAGACACGTGGCATTTCTAGAGATTGAATGACTTGCCCGAAATCATATTCTTAAGTTGGAGGTGAAATCAGAACAAAAACCCCGGCCTTCCTTACTCCCGACCACCTCATATTGTCCATGTGAAATCGGGGCGCCAAGTTCCAGGCCACCAGGCCCAGCAGGGAAGGCCGGGTGAGAGTGTG